AGATAAAGGGTCATAATGAGGTATGTGTGAGATATAAGCAAAGATAAAGGGTCATAATGAGGTATGTGTGAGATATAAGCAGAGATAAAGGGCCATAATGAGGTATGTGTGAGGTGCTGAGGTACCTGCAGTTGCATGTTGGTCTGGGTGAGCTCCTCCGCCTTCTTCTCCAGCGACATCACCCACACTTTCCTTTTCTGTCTGCAGCGTGTGGCGGCCGCACGGTTCCTCTCCAGGAACTTCCTCCGGCGCTCGTCCGGGTCTTCGTCCATGACCCGCCTGCGCCGGCCACCACTGGGCTGCGGTGACTGCAGGCTCTGCGTGGGCTGCATCTGCTGAGTGGCCGGAGACGGCTGTGTGAGGCACAGAGAGCCAATCGGATGCCCGAAGACTCTGCTGAACCACCCGTCCAGCAGGACTGCCAATCAGGCGAGGCATGGTCTGGGAGGACAGCCCCATTCCACAGAAAGTGAAACATCAAGCCCAAAATGACACTCATTGGGGCTCCTAGCTAATATATAAAAATATCTGGCAATGTTTTACATTAAATGCACTATAATTATGCCTTTATAATGCATTCATAGAACATTCATAAGCAGCTTAACATCCTAACATACCTTAACAGCTTTAATATACATTAATAACGAAAATTATATGAGTATACAATTATAATATTTGTTATTAATATAACTACAGCTGTTAAACTATGTTAGGATATTTAGGTATACTTACATGCTGCTTATGAATACACTATGAAGGCACACTGAACGTTCTATGAATGCATTATAAAGGCATTACGAAAGCGCAGTAAATATAAAACATTATAAAAAAATTTAAGTGAAGGGGAACAAGTGACAAGGAGAAATGAAGAACACAAACACCTTAAGTCTGCTTGTGCATGTGTTTGGAAAAACGTACCGGGGCGCAAAACGAAGGCCGACGCATAGCATGTATATCGATGGAGAGACACAGCAGCACGTCCCAGCAATTAAAAACGATTCCACAATGCAGCTCATTCAATCTTTTACTCTTTCCTTTCTATCTCTAGTTATTTTTTCCAGAGATAAAACACACGTTTCTTCTCCTCAGCGCTTCGCAACTGAAGAAAGACATTTTGCAATTTTGAATCTGATTATATTACAAATTAAATTAAGTACTTGCATCTAATTAAATTTAAGACTTTATTAAATCTGGATAACCAGTCCTGGATAATGCTAGCAGAGATCTACTATGCAAATTAGCTCTAATTATAATTATGAATTAAATTATAATTCAGATGGGGAGCATTAGGGAGTACCTGGGAGGGGGCTCTGGAGTGGAGTGACTGATGGGGGGAGGTCTGGTGGGCGTGGCCAGGATGCAGATGTGGAGGGTGTGGGTGGTGGGCGTGGCTCTGCGGGTGGTGGTGCCCGCTCTGGGCGTGGCCTTGCGCGTGGCCGTGGTGGTGCTGGTGCTGATGGGCGTGGTGCTGGTAGCCGTGGGGCGGAGCCTGCAGGTGCTGCTGCGGGTGCGGGTGGGAGTGCAGGTGCTGATGAGTGGCCTGCTCCTGCCGCGACGACATCATGTCCATCATGTGGCCCATGGCGTTCATGTTGCCGTTGGCGATGGCTCCAGGGTGATGTCCGAGTGCAGCCTTTAGTCTCTGCGTCGAGAAGAAAAAAAGCCCAAATATTCGCCGCTGTGGCCTCTGACACTGTCGCTTACAGCATTCCCAGTGTTACCAGTTTCAAGGTATTTTTAATATTTCCCATTCTTCTCCAGTGAGGCCACCCCTCACCGCTTATTTGCTGCTCCTAAATCAGCCATCGCACGCAATCAGAAGCCTGCCGGCCTCCTTTTCCGATTCCATTCCCACTATTTTTCCACGGATTCTCTGTGACGGTGCAAATCGAAGCCCAGCCGGGCAGCTCTGTGCTCCTCCGCTCGCCTCCTCGCCGCTTTCCTCCTCCACCCTTGATTTCTGCGGCGCCGAAACGCCAGCGGCGGAGTCTCGGGGCTCGCTCACCTCTCCCTCTTTGTCTCCTCTCTCCTTAATTCCTCCCGCTTTCTTTTCCTCCAGCTGTTTCTAGTCAGTCCAGTCCATGCCCCGGCCTCCATCTCTTTAACAAGCTGCACATTCATAATTCCCAGAGGGAAAGGCGGCCAGCTGGCCTAATCGGAGCACTGGGCCGGAGCCAGCGTGCAACATCGTC